AGCTCATCGGCACTGAATATTAAATATTTTATAAACTAATGGCCATGCGCGATTGAAACAAATATCATTGGCTTCAGAATTCCAAGTTCTATCACTGTGTTAATCCTCATTAAAAAGCCAGCGTTACACCTGGGGACCTCTCCTTGTCAGTGTCGAGGAACCTTCGAACACTCATCGAGGATTTAACTGTAAATTATATGTATGGAATAACGTTTTTTTATTAGAGGTTTAGTTTTCGAGAAAAATGATTTTGGAACTTCATGGCAAACGCGTATATCGTGTCGAGAATAAGTAGAAACAGAATGCAATCGACAGACGCGTTAGCCAATTCAATTCGTAAATTCGCTTTCAGCGACTCGACGGCCTAGAACGGAATTTTGGATGTTGTATCGGAGATTTTTGTTCAAGTTAGAGGATACAAGTCAAAATGGCGGGTTGGGGAAGAAAAGAGGCTTCAAGATTTACGAATATTAGACCCCTTTCGTTAGTTTTCAAGTGTAAATAACAATTTACTCTACTTATTATCAAACTGACGGTAAATTAGACAGGGTAGACAAGATCATATATGAATTGTAAAACATATTAGCTGTACCAAGAAGCTCTGCACTATTCTTCACTTCATTCTAAATTTATATTTGTCCAACGAAATCGTAATTCGGTACTATTGCCATAGTATTTGTCACTTCTATCCATTATAAACCATTTTTATCGTGTGCAGGAAATTAAACTTCCATTACTATCTTCTTAACCCTTCATTGGAAAAGTGGGGCCTGAGGAACCCGATGAATATTTTTAAAATATATCATTTTTATTTAATAATTACTTAAAGAGTCGTCTGTTTACTTTGATGTTTTTTCACATGAGAATGCAAAACAACTAGTTGTGTAATAAGTAATAAGATTCGAACAACAAATAATGAGTAATAATATTTCCACCTGTCCAGTTAAGGGTTAAAGAAATAGTGTATCACTGATTAGGTTCTCTTAATGTACAGGATGTCCCATAAGTCACTTTACCATTCACAAATCAACTACGTTTTTTATTAACCATTCCTTTTCATAACATTTGTATTCATTAGAGTTATTAAATTTGCAAACGGTAAAGTGACGTACGGGCCACCCTGTGTTCGTAATGTTCGCAAAATCATACGCAACAAATCAATGCCAGTTCTTACATAACGCAAGTCGAAGCTCGACTGACATCGTTCAATTTTATTCTCGTTTCTGGAGCGTCGCGAAACGTTCCACCGGGTCGGCTCCAATGGCCAGGCTCCAATGAGCATGCGGTTCCACGGCTGATCGAATACACGGAGCGGGTAGGTAGGTACGTGCCCCGCGGCGCGACGTATCAAAAATCAGAAAAGTCTATTCTGGTCGGGGACCCACGGGTTTATTCTCGACGGATATCCCATTTCTGCAATGCCGTGTATTTTTAACCGTGGCCCACATCCGAGCCCGATGTGATTATTTCCCTCGCATAATCGAATGGCCCCGGCCAACCTCGTGACGTTCATCCGCACGGGAAAAGAATCAAAGAATAAAAAAAACAAAGAAGAACAAGATTCGCTCGTTTCTTACGAAGGTCTCTCTCTCTCCAAGTCCACTTTGCATGTCATTTCGCACGTTCCTTTCCCTTTTGAACAGCTTCGCTTAACGGTCGCGGCGTTCGTCGCCGTTTACGATTAAACTTTATCGTCGTGATAACGTCACGCCGCCGCCACTGGGGGGAAAAAAGGATTATACGGCGCTGTGCTCTTAAACGGGGACATTGATTCTGTAAACACGACCGGCCAATTAACCGGAGCACGAATCATCGGAGCTCAGAACGCAGGGGACCTCCTCCGTCTCGTCTGACTTTTCGGAGGAATATTCCAGTAACGATCGGCAGCACAATCTTCTTGTGAATGTTGATCCTCGACCAGCCGGGGCTGAGTCACTTTCGAGCCACCATACGCAGCGATAGGGTTTAGACTTTCAATATTTCCAGCAACTTGCATAATTATTATTATAAATCAACGGGTAATAGAATCGCTTGTTATAGACGACACGTTAAATATAGTATATTGTAACATCTGACACATACGGTGCGTGGCATTCATAGATCTACACGGATGATGTTGAAAGGATCCCAGAGAAAAGAGGACAATTTAACTAGAATGTGTATTAACTTCACGAATAATTCTACAAGCCGTGTCATTGTTACTATGATTACTACGGTATTATTTGAATACAAATAGTAAGCAGCAACATGTGCCTCAGAAACAATAGTTAAAGTGGCTATAATGGAAAATTGGTTATGAAACAGAGTTAACCGAATTCAGGCACTTTGGATCTTTGTTAGCTCCTCGACTTCATTGACACGTTCACTTTAAAGATTATTTCGGCTGACTTTCCGTTCACGCCGGTTGTATTATTGGACATTTGAATTTGTATTACATGACGGTCACCGGTGTCCGTCAAATGGCGAAGGAAAGTTCTTGACCGACACAGCATGAACAGAAAGTTCTGCGACGGTCACTGGTGACCGTCACGGTGTGAATGGAACCTTTCATGACGGTCACTGATGACGGTCGCAGCGTGAACGAGAAGTTTTCTATCGGTTACCAGTGACCGGCACAGCGTGAACAGAGAGTTCTACGCCGGTCACTGGTGACCGTCACGGTGTGAATGGAACCTTTCATGACGGTCACCGATGACTGACGCGGTGTGAACGGCACGTCACCTGTCGGTCATCGGTGACCGACACGGCGTGAACGCTATGTTCTCTGACGGTCACTGATGACGGTCGCAGCGTGAACGAAAAGTTTTCTATCGGTTACCAGTGACCGATATAGCGTGAACAGAAAGTTCTACGCCGGTCACTGGTGACCGTCACGGTGTGAATGGAACCTTTCAAGACGGTCACCGATGACTGACGCGGTGTGAACGGTACGTCATTTGTTGGTCATCGGTGACCGACACGGCGTGAACGCTATGTTCTCTGACGGTCACTGGTGACCGTCGTAGCGTGAACGAAAAATGTTCTGTCGGTTACCAGTGACCGGCACAGTGTGAACGGAAAGTCTTATCATCGATCGAGATGTTGAATTTCTTAAAATTTCACAGAAAGTATAGGGAAAATGGCACGAGTCGCGATACGTTCGATCGAGCTCTCGAATTGGTTCGAGCGACGTAACGGGGGACGGCTTCCATTATGTGCCGTAGGTACCTCGAAACGGGCCGAAGGGGGAAAAAAATGGCGGGACGAGATGGTTAAGTCGTGATGCCCGCTTCCTGGACGGCAAGCGCGAAGAGTTCCACCGGTGCCACCGATGGAAACCGTGCGAAGCGATGCGAGGTGAAACCCGGTCCATTGTCATGTACCGAGGATCACGTAAGGTCACACACTCTCCTGACTCGCTGGCTAGCCCCGGTTGGTAGTGCCCTACGTGGAAACAACAAAGGCGTCAAGTTTCGTAACGAGCGACAGGCTAAGTCGGTCTTATTGTTAGGAAAACGAACTGGCTCGGCTGGAACTGTTTCGGGGTTAGTCATCCGCGGCGTTCCACGTTCTTCGAAACATTGCGATCGATCGCGTAGGAAACCGTGAGCTGGACGAGATTTAACCTTAGTCCCCTTTCCTTACTCTGGTTTGTAGATAAAGCAAAATTTAGAGGGTTGTTCTCTGGTTATTGTGTAAACCTGTAGCTGTGTAGGCATTATTGTACGTGAAATTCAGTACCTGTTGTTACTTTGGAAATGACTGAAGTAACGTTGATCTTGAGTTCACTTAATGTCACTTGATGGATTTCACTTAATACATATATAGGCATCAGACCATCCTATAATGTTGTTTCTCGATGCTAACTTTCAGTGTAAAATATAGAGTGAAGGTGAAGTAAAGAATCTAGAAAATATTCTAGAGGTGGGGAAAGATCATATAAAGCAATGGCCATTAGATTGATGATTGAAAGTAAATGTAGGTATGAATATTTTGTACTGAAAGTCAGCGCCAAGAAACGACATTACTTATGGATGACCTAATATTATGGTAATGACGGTATGTTTACTAAGATTTTATCAACATGATTTCTTATGATGTCATTCACGGGTTAGGTTCCTGTCACTTTTTTTAATAATGCTACTATAGGAAGAGAAGTTTCTGGTGATTTTCTGAAGATATAATCCTTGAAAAAAATTAATTAATGTAGGAAGATTACATCATTTCTAAATAAGAAGTGGTTACACCTGGGTACTCAAAGTCTCATACGATAATCGCGTCAAAATAGAAAGTGTACATAGAAATACACTTGCCTTTAAGTATGCAAATGAATCATTCGTGAGAACTTTATTTTCGTCGTCGAATTTTCTCCCTCTCATGGATGCCGGAGGAATATCTAGCTTTATAAGCTTACGTTCGCGTCACGGCGAATCGCAGGACTCTTTGGTTCAATGCAGCCAGTCGCCATGAACACTTTCTACAATTAATTACAACGTACGATATACATCGTCCTCGACGGTGGTCCTTAATTTGTCGCTGCATCAAACGCAAATTGATTATCAACCGTTGCCACCGGGGGCCACTAAACAATCGCCACGAGTCGTTAATCTCACGAAACGTTTCACCCGCAGCCTCGAATGAGCGGGCGTCGGTGTGTCTCATGAGTCACGGTCCCATGTGAATCACGTCATTAGCTCGTCACGATCCTTCGGAATAATTCGTTCCGTAACGGGACAAAAATGATCGTTACGCCAGGGCCCATTCGGGCCATACTCTCCTTGTAACCCCCAAAATTTATCGGTCTAACCTGGATCCATTTCTCATTGATTCCAAATAAACCAACCGCCATTCGTCATCGAAAGTCTCGACGAAATTTGCTTACTTATGACCAGGTGCCTCGTTATTTATGCAAATGAACCGTCTCCATTAAGGTCATTGTTTCGTTGTTACTTTCCCTTTAATTAAGGGCACCACTGAAATTCGCTGGTTCACTAACCCGCTCGGCTTGTTGACCGTTACAGGGTGGCGGCGGGGGCGGCGATGATTCGGATGAAGATACACAGTGCGCACTCAGCGAGAATTGGACCTTCGAGAAGAAGACCAGGCGTTGGTCGCGTGTGTGCGACGTGACGCAGGCGAACGTCGAGAGGTTGCAGGCAATCGCCGCGCAGAACGTGCAGTCCGAGGAGGACTCGCTGGAGGATCGTCTGGAGGCCGAGGAGGCCGAGGACACGATGCTGGACACTCTACGATACAGCAGCCTGCCACCCGGAACACTACCCGATGAGATCAGTCCCAGATTTCGAAGAACCGGCTCCGAGAGACTGCGGGACGGTGCGAAGGCTTTCCTCAGGCGAGTCGAGTCGCTCAAGTCCCGGCGACGGAAGCATCAGAATCGGGACGGTATCGTCATCAGCGGCCCACAGATACTAGACGTGTTATCGATGCAGCAGAAGATGAAGGAGCTGAACTGCGTGGACGTGTCTCCTACTGGGCCAGCGCCTGTATCTTTTAACGATCTCTCGGTGTCGCCGCTCCACGTGCCTGGCTCGCCTGTCACGTTACCAGCGTCACCCTATCACCTACCACCCTCACCGTTGACCAACGCGCCAAGTCCGTTCGGCGATGATTCCTCGAGTTATTGTTCGGACGGCTCGCAAGGGGGTGGCCCGACACCGACGCCAACCCGCACGAAGATGAATCGGGCGAGAAGGTTCCTGCATCGGGGCCGGGAGGACCAAGGTGCGTTAAGCGACTCCGAGTGCCAGCCGACCAGTTGGCGTCACAGGTACTTCAGAGATGCAAACAGTAACCACACCAAGGTGTTGGAGTACGTGACCGCACATCCCCAAAGCCCGAAGGAGTCGCCGACCAAAAACGCCCCGATAAATACACGCGGTGGTAGCCTGAATCTCGGCAAGGAGTCGCAGAGGTACAGGGACAAACTGACGCAGAGTCAGGACAGGTACAAGGAGGACAAGGTGGCCGCGCTGAAACGGGAGGACAAGATGCACAAGAGCTTCAGGCATCGGGACGACGCGTACAGGGAAGGGAAACCTTTGTCCAAAGAGGTGACCGTTTACAGAGAGAAATCAAGGTCCAGGAGTTCCGAACTGGCCGGTAGTCAGGAGAGCAGTTCCACGGTGGCCAGTCGTGACTCGGACCAGGAAGAGGATTCCCCCAGGCACAAGGGCACCGTGGTTAGGTGGCACAGCTTCCAGAGAGGATCTCTATACCCGGACCCTCTGGATCCACTGTGTCCTCGAGCTATGGCCTCGATGTCCTGCGGGCAATTGTTGGTCCTGAGGAAACTGGCCCTGCTGAAATTGACCGCTTGCATGGAACGATACTGCCCAACGCATCGCACCGGATGGAACTGGGAGCTACCGAAGTTCATCAGGAAAATCAAAACACCCGATTACAAGGACAAAACAGTATTCGGTGTACCGTTGCTGCTGTCCTTGCAGAGAACCGGACAGGCCTTACCAAAGTGTATTCAGATCGAGGATACAGAAATTGAAAATGATGACGGAGACCCTCGGGGATAATATCAATTTCGACGGTCAGCAGGCGTTCGACGTGGCCGATCTCGTGAAACAGTACTTCAGGGAGCTGCCGGAGGCGTTATTGACGAACAAGCTGTCTGAGACTTTCATCGCTATCTTTCAACGTGAGTATATTTTATATCAAGTACAATAATAGTGGCACTTTCTATGCAAAGAACGCAATACAGGGCTTGATATTGTTCCTAACTTGATTTTAAATTACAAAGATGACCGCGATCTACCATTCTCATTGTCAAGTTATGGACACCTATGTCTCAGAATCGTAAAAGATAAGAAAAGTGACAGAATGCATAGATAACAATCGACGGAATTCTTAAATAGTGGTAGATTAGATTGATCAGTGGTGACCATGCTCGTCCATGATCGTTACAGATGTACCTGTTGAGCTCCGACCAGACGCGGTGCAATGTGTCCTCCTGCTTCTGCCGGACGAGCATCGCGAGGCGTTGGAAACTCTGCTCGATTTCTTGAACCACGTAGCGAGCAACGCTCCCTACAACCAAATGACAGCCTCGAACCTGGCCGTGTGCCTGGCACCGAGCCTGTTCCACTTCAACCACAGCAACACGAACGTGACCAACAGGTCGAGCAGCGTATCGCCACGTAGAAGAAAGACCGTGGGCATTCCCGATCAGAGGGAACTGTCGGAAAACAAAGCCGCTCACGACTGTCTTCTGTATCTGGTCAAGATGCATCGTGAATTATTCATGGTGAGTTGCCTCGATGCCGAACCGTGTCCAGGTCGTACGAAAGAGAGGAGCGTCATCCGTCGTCGTCTCGAAACCGCCGATTGTGATCGCGCTCGAATCCGATATATTCGAACACGTTCTCACGGAGCTCCCCCTTGCGTCCGCCGCCGCTCCGCGTCGTGGCGAACACCGAGAGTAATCGTATTCGTTCTTTGTTCGGTGTATCAGGTCTCCTCGGATATGTTGACGCAGTGTCATTTCAATTACATGGAAGAGAGCGTACCGGTCGCCTTAGAGGAGCTTGGGTCCGAGCTGAAGCAGGACTGGCGGGGATACCTTTATGCCTGTACCACCGCTTTGTTGAAGGAGGCGCGTGAAAAGTGAGTATTCCTATCCTTCTTTAATCTTCCATTTTCGATAAGAAAATGGAACTACGCAACCTTTAGAATTTCTTTGTTTACAAAATTCACGCAATTTGAATGTGATCACTATCGAAGCACAGAAAATGAAGAGGGACATAAGATATTTCTTCCATGTAATTACATTACATCGGGGGAAACATAATATAGAAAATAATATATACAATTAGACGATCCTTTCATTCATAAGATATCGCGATTGATTGACGACTTGCTTCTATCGTTCTGACGAAAACGAAGGATAGTAGCAATGATCGTGCAAGAGTAGGTAATGTGGTCATGTTTTTGACGTCATTGTAAGAGTGATTTATCGAGAGAGGTTTATTATTCTTGGATCGATTTCAAAATTGTTATTTATTAATTTCCCAGGAGCCGTGGATGGGTCACAGTCAACAACCCTGCCGATAGTACAGTAGAGATGGCTTATAAGAAAGTCGGAGACGGACATCCTCTACGATTATGGCGAGTATCGACCGAAGTGGAGGCTCCGCCGAACGAGCTTCTCCATCGTGTTCTGAGAGAAAGACACATCTGGGATCCGCAATTGTTGAAGTATCGACTGGTTGCCAAGCTGGACACCAACGTGGAGGTCTTCCAATACGCCACCGGGAATATGAGTCCACTTCCCGCCCGGGATTATTGCGTGCTAAGGTTAGCGTTCCTATTCATTCGAATAATATGACATTGTCCCGAAGACGTTTAATGTAATAGATGGCAATGGAGGCTGTAAATTATGTAATCCCGTGTGTTATACAGATCCTGGCGGAACGATCTCCCCAAAGGGGCTTGCGTTATCGTAGAGACGTCCGTGGAACATCCGGACGCTCCTGTTATGCTTGGCGGAACACGCGGCATTGTTTTGGCGTCGCGATATCTTATCGAACCTTGCGGTAGTGGTAAATCACGGATCATGCACCTGTCCAGAGTGGACACGAAGTGAGTATTCTTCACGCTTGAATTATTTCTGTCTTGGAAATTTTACCAAATTCCATTTTTTACGTGCTGTCAATTATGTGTATACAGTTAGTGATGCAATGATTCTTGTCGTAAAGTCTACAAGACATCGAACTAGAGACGGTAACAATCATTGAAGTATAAATTGTATTAAGTAGAGTTTATACATTGAATCTTTTAATGGATAAGCAAAAGTTTGAATTCTTTTTCATGTTTTATAAAAAAACCTATATTAATGCAGACATGTGCACAACTTACAGACGGAAGATGAATTCTGTTAGAATTCCAATTTTGTATTAATAATAGAACTAAATTCTTATATATCATTTTAGAAAATACTAGATTTGCTTCTAGTGTTCAAAGTTATGGTGAATTTATTTTTCAAGCATTACAACACCTATAAATTAAGGGATTTATATATGAAATACCAATAGTGCCTAATTCTACGCACGTTTTTTACAATCACATGTCTACGACAGAAGAGATGATGTAAAAGTTCATTTTCTTTAGTAAAAGTTTTATTGGTTTTTTTATTTCTATTATTTTACTCTTTGGGTCTAATATAAGTGTATAAAATGCACAATCCATTTATTAATATACGGTAGAAATATAAGAATTATTACAGAACTAAAGTACATTATCGATTACTGGATGATTAATTTAACTTAAGTTTTAACGTTTAAAATTGACCATTTACTAAATTAAATTTTCGTTCTTCTTCTGTTACAGAGGACGCACTCCAGAATGGTACAACAAGAGCTACGGCCACCTCGCTGCCCTCCACCTGAGCAAAATTCGCAACTCCTTCAAGCACACAACCGACGGCCCCGAGAGCAAAGTCTGAGAGGAGGCCACCGTGCAACGATCCCCGTTGCACGGTCCTTACACGACTTTGCAAGATCAGGAGGCGCATGATCAGCATCAGGACCTCAGGATCGAGCTGCGACAAGCCGCGCCTACCATCGACGAGGAATAAAACAATGATCGGCGTATCAACCATGATCGAAGATTGAACCCCGTTGATTAAATATCCTCGAGAAGGAGACAAATTATTATTGAGCTTTAATCGATGTCGAGCAATTTCCGTTGAAGCCTGCAGTGTTTAGCGTATAGACGTCGTGGAATCGTTGTCAAACTGTAAAAAAAAAACAAACAAACAAAAGGAAACAATTTATCGTTATCATAATAATAGACGACAATTCTCTGTGTATGAAGCTTCGTTGTCCAAGGATCTTGCCGTCCAGTGATCGTTGAAAGTTTTGAAGGCAGGACGCCGCGAGACGAGAAAGAAAAACACGGGAGAAGCTAAGTACCTGTGTTCCTCCGTGTACCGTAGATAGGGTAACGCGTTATTTTTGCATTAGTCCGATCTTGTCGTTACACTCGAGATTCCAAGAGCTAAAGACAGATTGGGCAGAATTGTTCGAACGTTTATCGTGTCGAGTTGTAAAAAGGAACGACCTCCCGAGGTAGACGCCTCGGGATTGTAGTCGTGTGCGTGCGAGTACACGCGGGAAGAGGACCGTAAATATTTTTCGAGATGTGACCGTTGAACGTCGCACGTTATTGCAATCTTCACCAAAATCGCGTTTAGTATAGAGGTAGAACGGTGGAAGCAAGTCCGCGCACAATATATTCACACCTAACCCGGTTAGCATTTAAGAACCTCCCCTCCCCGAACATTTTGTATGTTTCTTTCGGACCAAAATGACAATTTTTCTATTGTATCATATCATACGCGCGCGCCCGTTCATATCGCGTCCGAGGATGATTATTTTAGAGCGAATTTATTTTGTAAACGTCACGATTTAGACGATCGACACCGTGTAAAGTGTGCATGCGGTAGTGTGTATATGTATATTGCATGTACACGTGGTATTCTATTTATAAAGGATCGTGATCCAACGTCGCGATTAACCACTCCCCATCCACCCACGCCCTATGTCCCCACGATTAACCCCGATTAATCGAGCAATGCGAAAGGATTTTGAGTAAACGTGTAAGTCTTTGAGTCCGGCCGTACTACCGGGCGGAACTCTTCCATTTTAAATTAAGCCAATCGTAAATGTCGCTCGTAAACGATGTTCAAGCTGTCATAGAGTCTATTATTAATCGTGTCTCTGTATCTTGGAGCAAAATTTGTAAATGTTCAATCGAGCCGACGGTTCGAGAGATTCTTTGTGTTTTCGTATTTTCTTTTTTCTTTTTTTTTTTTTTTTCGTTTTTTTCCCTTCTTTAATCGTTCTCGGCCAGTCGAGCATTTAGAACGAGATCGTCGTTCGCGCGCATCACGCATGTGCATGTTACACCACGCGGTTACACGCATATTAGGGACCACCCCCCACGTTCGAACCCCGGACACAGGAAACGACCTGGAGAATGTATGCACCTCATCGAATCGAATTATAAATGTATTTTAACATAATACTAGTCAAACTTACAATTAGCGGAAATTATGGAATTACGATGTAAGTGTATAGATTTTTATTCTACAGAACCGTTATGTCGAGAATATTTAATTATTATTATTATTATTACTATTATTATTATTATTATTATTATTATTGACATAAAGTAATTCTATGGAAAAAATATATGATATTTTTGTGTCCAAAAAACGCCAGTAGGAACACGAGAATGTTGCGTGCATGTGTGGGAGAAAGGAAAAGAGAGAACGCGTCTGATTGTTTCTTCGTTATTTGTAACGATATAATGATCGTCTTTATTCTTGTAATCCGTGTTTCACTAGAATGTAAATATGTATATTATACGATAATGAAACACAATTATATACTCATTAAACGACATCGTTTTATTTTCTGTACCTCGTATTTTTGTCCGTTTAATCGTCACCCCTCTGTAATGTTTACCACCGGCGTCGCGGGTCTGGCAACGCGATTGGAGAGCCAACTTAACACGTTTCGATTTGTTTGGTCGATAATTCATGTTGCCAGGGATTGGTTACCGGAGCCCACCTTTGGTTTTCATAACGGTGTGAGCTTGTCATTCCTCGATCAGTGCGTCAATATCGAAGGAAACTTTCGAGGTTATTCTTTCGCGATTACCACGTGTTTGGTGTTCGCAATATTCACGTAAAGTACATCAACGTTTTGGGAAGAAACTAAGTTACAGTGAAGGTTTCTCGGCGTTACAGTTTAAAGAACCGACTGGTAGCTCGTGTGATCGACTTAGAATATTAAATTCTCGAAATCAAGAGTTCAGAACAAAGGGTAACTTATGATCGTTTTTTTCGAACCATTAAATTGATTATTATATGCTATTCTTTAAAATTTAGTTCCTTCAGATTTATTTACTCCACTGTGTGCTCTAAGATATAACTTAGTGTAAATGAATTATTTTGACAATATGTGCTGATTATTTTTATAGTGTACAAAGAGATACTGAAATTATTATATTTATTTGTCTCATTAAATAAAATCAAAACGTTTTCCATTTTTTGCTAACTCAACGTAATGACGAAACATCAAACTGCTGCACCTAAATTTCGAAGGGGCATATATCGAGAACAAATAGCATTGATCGATAATAATTATAAAATATAAAACAAATTTAGAAATTTGAATGATAAAGAGAAATTCAAATGAATTAGGGTTACAATAATTATTACAGAATTATATATAAAATATATAACGAATTTAGAAGTATGAATATATAAACGGCAGTATCGTTACCATTTCTTATCGCAGACATTAATTCCAATTTAACTTATACTATAGTACACAACGGATAAATCCCCCCTAAAACCGTCAAACATTTTCCAACCGTAAAATTCAGTCACGTATACAGAACCGTATAATTCTATTCCAATGTTCCACGAAAAGCCACCGGTCCCCGCGGAAAAATCGCCGCGGGAAAGCGTCCCTGCCGCGATCTAATAAAAGCTCGAGCGCTTTACGACATCGCTTTGTTCCAAGTTTCCAAGAAAATGGTCCGGCTACACGTGAAGAAAGGCGAGGAGAGCCAGTTTCTATACGACACACACGTGGAGGCCCCGGTTGAAGACGTTATATACGACATCGCTATTATTTACAACGGTCGGCTGAAGATTTCCAGAATATGTTATGGTAATGACCATCGCCCCCTCTCTCTCTTTCTTTCTGTGTATGTACACCAGGGCGGTTGAGAAAGTGCTTCGGAAGGATGACATCTAATAGCGTGCAAAGAAACACCAGCTCGTCTGGAAAGTTGCACTTTATTTACACGAGTACAGTCTTTGCGAGGGGGATGCCACGTGATCGTAAGTTAAGTGGCATGAGTTGTACCGGGGCAACGGGCGTGTTGCAACGCATTATTACCGTTTTCTGCGGGTTTTTATTTCGCTGCACGGGCATAACGGCCCCCGACGCGAACCCTGGGGTTGGGCGATTTTACCAGGTATTACCTGCAGGCCTCTTTGAATGCCAATGATTTCATCGACGATAACAAGTTACGTATCCCTTCATTTATCCTCGGATTGTCCCATTATTCCAACGGAGTGGTTTTAATACCGCGTGGTTTCAGAAGTGATCTGGAGAGGGAGAATGTAGTTGGTTCTTTGTTTTCCTTTTTTGCTTTGCCCGAATTCTTTTTCGTTCGATTGCTTATTTTCCATGGCGCGGTGAAATTTTTGTCACGGTCTACGTCGACCATTTTTTTGGCCTCGGGGAGAAGGTGAATAACAGGCTCGTGGAAATTCCTTTCAACGAGCCGTGACCACCTTAGTGGCTTGTGCGAAGTTAATGAGGGCAGTTAGTGCAGACAGCTTTAATGAGTAGGGATGATTTAAGAAGCTCGAGAATTACTCCCGAATTATTCATATGATTGTTTAATTCTGTTAGAATAATATGACACTGATGGGAAAAAGTTTTTATTCATATTTTGGAAGCTATAGGAACTATAGCAGCTAAATGGGGTAGTTTCGTTATACAATAAAATATTTCGGTTGCTTTTGAACTCCTTGCTCCTGACATTATTATTCACTTTTTATTCTAAAAGTTTTAACGATGTTATACGTACAGATTACAAACATATTAACATTTTAAAATGTCAATTTCATATGTTGCATTTAAATACTACAAATATAAATTTGTATGCACTTTACGTTAAATTTCAATGTAACACATACATAATCCATGTATGCATACAGTTGTCCGAGAAATTATTGTTCACGCAGAACTTTCAAGTATGTCGTTGAATTCATGTTGAAATAATTAACAGCTTGACAATAAAAGAATATGTAGTTCCATTTAAAAAGAGTAGACTGTTATTAAAATCGCTGTAAACAATTTGAAAAAAAGTTAAAATATTTTATTATGTCAACTCCATGAAATGAACCTTCAACGTTCATATAAAACATTTTTTCGCATTTGCAACAGTTAGAGAAAGAATAGCGTGTATGCACTTAAATCGGTCATACTACATATTTACATGTATGACACACTCGTATTCCACGAAAATGTACCCAAACTAGTAACATCTGAAATAAAATCGAAGTTAGCAGAACAAAAGAATAAATTAGAAATGTTCATTTCGAGGATTATGATGGTACGATGTTTAAAGTAATTTAAATATACTTCAAATGTGCTTCATTGTTCACTAAAAAATACTCCACATTAACAATCTCAGCTAGTCATTCCCTAAAAGTGTTATTATACCAAATACAAACAGCAGTTCATTACCGTTTCAATCACATCTGAAAGAAGTCAGTTACCATTGTCACCGACCAATCAATTTCTCTGGCGACTATAAGAGCCCAATTAGGGACCACTAAAAATTCACAGCGGATTATCACCGCTAATGGAAGAAAAATGTTCGATCCTTTCGAAGGGGTAATAGCCCAACCCTTTCTAAAGTAACGAATTACCCCATTTCACACATTAGCCAAAGTCGATTCCCGACCGAGTGTCCCGGTTTCCAAAGACCCCCTTGTTGCCTCCGGGATAAACGGGGATCCTAGTCGGAATATTAACGCGAGAAATCCATTAACGATTATCTCGAAGAAGGCCAAGCCACGACTGGCAATAGCTCCGCGTAATAAGAAGTCGATAGGCGAATTTATGAACCTATCCATCGTGGACGCTATGCGATATTAGTCATACGTCCCAGGGTAGGGGGATAATAATTACCCTTTACCATTTTCGTACGATCGGGCGACGTGTGTTTTTGTACGACCGAGCGTCAACTATAATCGACATTTTGTTTTTTTCTCGTTTGGCCGTTATCGCGATAGCTCAGACCTGACGTATTGGGGATACGGTGTTGCAGGAACTTGGTATCTTACTGACCGGTAGCCAATTAACAGGTTTTTTAAATTCAATGGTTATCGATGAGAAACCTATTAATTTACTTTTAAATTAGAATCAAGGGGGACATCGTTAGATTATGTTGTTAAGGATGTTACCAGGTGTCAGCATTGTTGGGTGAAACTCTGATCGAACTGTTTATTAATAGGTCCTTGGCTGTTAATCGGTTTATCTAAGAAACCTATTAATAGCCGCTGATTGGGAAGGTATCAGGAAAAAGAGGGACTGGGCTATCTGGTTCTTTGGACTCTGTGGTAGTTAAAAACATGGACTAGAATACTAATCACTAGTCCATCTTTTTCCTAGATTCCTACAGTATTCTTAATGTAGTTAGCAATCCGTAGATTGTGGATTTTATGCATTTATAGCATACAGAAGTATTTGAAATACAATAAAGAACATAAATTTGCTCGAGTTTCATACATTTTCCTTTTATTTTTATCCCTGAGAGACGAAAGAATTTTCTATTTCTACTCTTCTTCTTATGCATCACTTCATAAAATCACATTTGCATAAAAATCCGCAGTCTAGTAGTTAATAAACTGTGCAGGCTTATATAAATTAGTAATATAATAGATGTACCTAAGACTGTGAGTATTGAAAAGGAAGGTACTTTCTTTATTAAACACTTCATTAGACAAAAAATAAAAAAAATACCATTAAACTTTATTGAAATCTCTATATTATTTTCCTTTCCAAATTTTCAATTCACTCGTATGCCATAAACGCAAAAATTGCAGAGTCTAATAAATAGATTAACTCTGCAGTAGCGATTTTTTCCTCTCGCAAAAGGACCTGAAATTGTCAATAATACTCACAGCATGTATTACTACACGGCCTTAACCCATTAACGACCAATATTGCGTTAATACAAGATTTCATTTAGAATTGTTTACAGTCAATTGACATCAAATCCTGTTTCCTTTTACGCGTAAAACTCGTATTCTCTCACTACTTCATCCTTAATATATTAATCATAACATTAATATCACCGCATCATTACTAATATCGGTCATTCATTATTTTAAACAAAATTTACCCAACACTGGCCATACTACAAACAATACCCACACCAGAACTGTTAAACGATGTTTTTCTATTCTCGACAAACTAGAAATCGAGGAATTAGCGAAACACGGCACCATGTTGCCCCCCAACATGATGGGGCTCACCGACGAGCAGGTAGAGGAGCTGAAGCTCAAGGACGAGTGGGGCGAGAAGTGCGTACCAATGGGCGGATGGACTTTTAACAAGGACGTTATCGGTACGTGAAACCATATTAAGCAGGGAGAGAAAGAAGAGCCCAGTCACGGACAAGACTTAGGCGGTTAACGACGCGGTCTGTTTTATGCGGGCTCGCCATTTCACCGTGGATGCAAATGCCAGGCCTATCGGGAAATAGAGTGTACAATGGCTCTCGAGAAATTGGCTCAGCCCCGCGGATTTTTGTTGCCGCGAATGGGTCTTGTAATCGTCGCGTTAATTGCTCGACCAGCTGGAACGCTCAGAGGGTTTCCATGTTTCAGGCCGGCGGAACGGCAAGCAGCCGGACGCGAAAATGCGGGAGGTCTTGAGCAAAACGATCGAGGAGGCTCGATCTATGGTTTCGAAGGTAATTTCTATCTTGTCCAGTTGGTAATGGATTCTCTTGCTTTCACGGTACATTTGCCAATGATTTTCTGTTACCGTTTGGTTTGTAGAAGTTGGTGCAACAGGATAAATTGATGACGCAGAAAATTGTCCAGGAAGCTTTGGACATTTTGAGGGGCGCTGTGACCATTGTTTATCCCATGGGACTTCCGCCCCACGAAGTGATTCGTCAGGAATTCGAGAACACGGAGGATCTTAGTGGCACTCAAGCATCTCTGGAGGTAATATTAATTATTGCTACTGAGCGTATTGTTTAAAATAATTGAGGATAATATCCAGGGTGTAACAAAAGTTTAGCATTCGCAAAAATGTTATCCGAGACTTTGTTAACGAGATATTAACGAAAAACCCTGACCAATCAAAGCTCGGCCGGCAGACTCCAGTTGTGATTAGTTTGGGTTTTTCGTTAATATCTCGTTAACAAAGCCTCGGATAACATTTTTGCTAAGGAAACTTGTTCTAAATCATCTCACGAGTGACCCATTTCAGGGACCCACAACACTTTTGTTACACCCTGTATAATACCGTTCCTAAATATCTGCCCTTCCATTGGAGAAAGATTTACTCGTTTTCATTTTACATTTTACTTTGGGAATTTTCAATGAGTGATCGTGAATTTTGCTTGTTTTATACCCTTGTTGTGGAGGAAACAAGTTCTTTTGAAGACTTTGGCATATTCTTTAGTAAGGAGAATGTAATATGACAGAACGAATATTTCTGCGCGTAGTGCACATATATTTAGAATAGGAGAATATGGAAATTGTAGTTTTTGGAAGGTAACTTAGAAAAGTATTGGGCTGATAGGAAATAAATGGCTGGTAATTATAATCAGTTATATCTAGAAAGTGTTATAATTCTGTATAGTTTGCGTAGAAAAATCAGAATTCTGTTTTAGGCATTCATATTATTTTACAAATGTACAAATGTTTATCTATGAATTGAAAAACAGCTGCAAAATACTTTGTTATCAATTTTCACTTAAAATTCAACTTAAGATTTAACATTTTTATCTAGGTGATCGATGTGCAACTCGCGCAGCTGTGGTTCTCAGGAAAAGAATTGTTACCTGGAAAGAAAATGAAGGATTACGTGGGACCGAATGAGAAAACGCGAATTATCGTGAAGCTGCAGAAAAGAGGAGGCGGAAGACCAGGACGGGAACCGTTGATGTCCGAAGAAGAACGGAAACAACTGATGCTGCACGCTTACAGACGACAGGAACAGCTCAAGGTAAGTGAAAGTTTCCTTCTGCCAGTAAAGTAGTTTTCTTCTCTGATAAAAGTTTATTAAAGACAACCTAATGAAAGAAGCTGTTTAATTTGTGGCATAGATAAAAAATCAAATCGAAGACACATTAGTTCATATTGTCTATTTTTGAATATATTTTCAGTTTTGTTTTACCTACTCTTCATAATGCTACTTGCAAATTAGTATACATTTAATCAAAGAAATATTCATAATACATACTACACTAAAGTTGATTTTTTTCTAGAAATGAACATTTTCATATGTAACTTTTTATAATATGTATTGCATAATTAATTGACTTTCCTACGATGTTACTAATAGATGGTAAATACGAACACATTTTGCAATGGAAAGTCGTGATTAATTGAATTCTACATGCAAATCATTTTATAATTGCACGTACGAAAGAAACAACTTTATGTTTACATTATATAGATGACTAATCAAATATTTATATGGTGGGTTTTCCACGTTTTCCAACTGTTGTTTAGTAAGAGTTTCTTTTTACCATTCGTTAGCTGCTCTTCAATTTATCTAAAATTAAAATCGTATCTATGAATACAAACTGATACTTGAATACACATGCGCGTATTATATTTACAAACTTACTTTATAAGTCTTTGCATCTAACTTTTACAGTATAATACTAACTATATACATACCAATTCTTTAATTATTATCAAATAATCAGAAATATGATCATCTAGGTAAAATGAATTTCGGAACATGAACTTATGAAAAAATTTTACATATTAGGATCGCTTTAGTGTAAACTTTATTTAGAGATAACATTAGCGAGACACCTTTTGTACTATTGATTCCTACTTTCAGATAGGGTAACGCATGCTTTATTATCGATTATCATCACTGTACGTCCTTTTTAAAGTAGGTTAATTCACATTAGATGCGGAGTAATGTAGGTGAATTACATTTTATGGACAATGTAGCTGGTTCTCTTTAAAAATTTACAAAATTGATTTACACTGAAATTATTCAAAAATCATTTCTAATAACATTATCGAATTTCAGAATTAAAAAAGTATTCTTGTTAAAAATTAACATCGAATTACAATAAGCAATTTTGTTCAAGTAATTTTTCAAGTTCATTTGCTAAAATCGTACGATGAAAATATAGTAATAGAATTGTATTGATAATGAAGTTTGAACGAAAACTACGTTGTATTCATTCCTATCAGATCAACGAACTCCTCGAAACGATCCTTCCGTTATCGATCGAAGACCCGTAATTGCGTGATTTCCATTTACGTTACCGAGTGCATTCAACTGTGTCCCATCAATAATACAATTTGTATTTCGTAGTTCCCGTCTGTTGTGCCTCGTTTATTCTGTTTTCATTCAGAGTCGCAATATTCGTGATTCCCGTGCTTTCGACCGATCATTCATTTCTCGTGTTTCTTGATTTTCGTTTTATTCGCTGCGACACTGGACTAGCGTGGTAATGTTTGTGCATTGATTGGAAATTGTTCACCATGCGTGCACATTTATCGTGCATATTTACAACTTTTTTTTTTCCACAGTATTGTAGAGTAAATTCCACGAACGATAGTACATCATCATAGCGTGTACAAACGCATCAGTCGTTTTAAAACCTCTATTTCGAAGCTAGATCTGAGATTATCTTTATTAAGTAAATTACTGGACATTTTCTATTTCTGACATTTTATGCACGGTGTTAATACTGATCAGTGATACTAAATCATTTAAAAAAATTCGTAATACTTGCAATCTTGTGAACGTGATTAGAGGTAGGCTAATTATCCGAATACTGAGTATATAAATCAATACGTAGCCAGTTTTATTCTTAACAATAAGAACTTAATTGAGTTATCTTATCACAGTACTGTGTTAATAATTTTGTACTGTTCATGATTAATTTGACTCGAAACATTTAGTTTTAATAACTTTTTCGTATAACGTATGTACTCAAAAATATTTGACAAATTTTCACAGACTTATTTTACATTTTCTCTGAGGTCTTCAACAAATTTTGAAGGCCAATCTGGGGTTTAGAGTTTCGAAGTTTCCATGACGTTTAATGGCCTGTTATGCCGGAAAATGTATATTTAACGCGATTAAGCCTGAGCTAGCATGCCATAAATACGGGACTCGTTGAACCTCCCCGTTCGCTTGGAGGGGATGTTTCATCGTTAGGAATCCACGGTATTTTACGTGCACAATAACCGTGAAAAATACGAGATAATAGGAGACGGATATCGAGAATTACCTCGCAAACTTTCTTCGTATCTTAGTGAAAGGAAGGAGTTTCGTTTACTGTGGCTAAAAGGATTGTGCACTAAGAAGGGCTGAAAGAGAAGAAGGGTGGAAATTATTTCTGGCGCGTGTAACTACCCTTAAAGAAAGGGTAAGATGGCTTTTTAACCCTATTAACGTTGCTATTTATTCAAAATGTATGAATAAGTATATACAACAATTAATGATTTCTATCGCAAAATAAACATATCAATTATCATGCTGCATTACCAGTTAAAAAATATTATTGACTCAACAGAAATTCTGTATTCTTTGTAACTATAGTTTCATGTGTATCGAGATATGTTTTTAGATATCATTATTGATTTATGTTGCAATGATAATTTATAGTAAAGAAACTTTATACAACCCATATTTGTTTACTACGGACCAGTTGAATAAACGGAACTTAAATGTTCAATCTTGAAGATTTTAGTATTTTCTTCAAGATAGTTTCTTCAACTTTACTAAAAAGTGTACTTGATTGAATTAAATGAATTGAAAATAAGATATAATATCGAATAAAATTATTTTCTGTGCTAATTAACGAAGAGTATAGGTTTATTAAGATTATTGATATTTCAGAAAATAACGTTCAAGGAAATCTGATACTCTTGGTTAATTAATACAGAAAATGCTAAAGGAATTAATTCTGGAAAAATTATTACGCTCAAGTTGTTACAGTTTTCTCCGGTATATTCTATATTTTAATATTTTGATTTTTGAATAGTATACCTGCAACACTGTAAATGCAAATTGTTATACCGACATGGGATAGAGCACTCCTTTTTTAAGGAATCGCCAGGGCGTAGGTACGCGTGTAGATGGTATCAAGGTCTGATTACATTAGTGTATCGATCTGATGGTTTCAACTCTTCGTGTAAGGTTAATGGAGCTTTGCACTTTGCCTAGTGTAAGGGTTCTTTTTCCCCCGTAAAATGTCATGAAATTCACGTCATGAATTTCATACATTTTGGTTGGATAGAAATAGGGGGCGTATTTATAATCACTGAATCACCGAAACGATTTGATGAAAATTCTTAGTAATATTGATTGAACAGTTGTAAACGAGTACGTACTCGATCTCGACCTACTTTCGAGGCTGATGACTCTCGATGAAATCCGACTTTATTCCCTTCTTTATCAATGTCAGGGAAATATATTCATCGAAAGATTTGATCGATTAGTACAGCAAGAGTGTAAACATTTTTAATTTGGCAAAAAATATATACAAACGTTTAAATTACAAGTAGGGAAGTTTACGTAATTAAGTTAATGAACTTCGTATTAGAAACTCAAACTTTTTCGTTTAAGGTATAAGCAACGAGAAATTGATCCCAAAAATATACAAAATCAAGGGAAATTAAAATACAGGGTGTTACAGAACGATTGACCACTTTCAAAGCGTTTAGTTTGTAAGAAATTAAAACAGAAAAAAGTCTGTCCATTTGAAACTTAAATTTAGAGTATTAAATTTCTCAGAATATTGTCTTCATTTTTAATCACCCTGTATTTTCATTGCAAGTTAAATTACAGTATAAATTCCTTTTTCGTAAGCAGATATCATCAAGGTTCTTTCGTTTAAAGGAAAAAGACGATAATGTTTTTTATCGCAGATTGCGACCAGTTCTGCAACAAATTGGAATAAACAACTCGGGATATATCATAATTACCGATCGTTCTGCTCTATTTTACGAATCGTAGCTTCTTTAACTCGTGTCCTCGACACAAACTGTGGTATGGCACGCAACCACAGCCATTAATACTCTGATGCTACTATGTGCACGATTATTGTGCTCGATTCTTGAAAAATATCGCAATGAATGAAACGTAGGAATTACTATTTAACGACATTATAGAGGACAACTGTTTAGTTTTATTATAATATTCTGTACTGTATTTGCTTGTGTAACTGGTTCGTTCGGAGACGGTTTATAACGAAGTCGAACCAATCGTGAAGTTCCCAGTAGGTCGTCGTAAACAATTTCATCCAGAATCTGATAAATGTGCGTGACACGAATACATTAGCGATCAGAGGGAGAATATTTATTTATAGTGAGACTTCGATTTAAGCCATGGAATGGAACTCAACGCGTGGTGCATTCATTGCTATTATGTTAATGGGATTTTCCATCGTATTCACGCGAGGTTCTTTTTTATTTCCTATAGTTTAATTATGAAGTTTGAAATATTCATGCTGAAAAGTATTTAAGTGGAACGTAATAATGTCTGATTAACACGAGAACTTACAAATTTAATAATAATAGGTGGGCATCCTCAAAAGTGTGTCTATACAAAGTGATAAACAATATGAAGCCTTAGATTGATGAATGGGATTCAATTAAATTTTTAATTCCTGAAAAAACATTATTATTTTCATGTTTTTCTGTATTATTTTCACGTGTTCAATTCGTTTCTAAAACAACAATCACAGTTTGTGAAACTTTCTGCATCCTCTAGTCTAATTTCTCTCGAAGCAAACATGAGAGACTTTACTACGACATATTACGAATCGTAAAAATTGAACAATTGAAAAGTGTATAATATTAAAAAATTTAAACAAATATTTGTGAAACAACTATTGTATTATAAACGACACATGTAGTTAATTCATACGCATATATTGTTACAAATATATTCTGATGACGAATAACATAAATTGTTACATTAGAGTACAACATAAATATACATTCATTCGTATATAAGTATAGTTATTTGTCTCCACTTGAGAGTATTACTTTCGAGGCCTAAGATCTCAGGGCAATTCTTTCATTTCTATTTTTTAATGTCCCTGGTATATAGAACATAATTTAATTTTAAGAACTGAAGTTTACTCTCAAGTGGACACAGAGCATTAGGTTACTTCTACTACACTTCAGACGCGGTTTGCTTAATCCCTTCGCTGTTTAAATAGAATACGTCCAAAAATTAGATTCTTTGTATTTTGTAGTACCTATAAATTTTCTATCATATCAATTCGGCCTATCCTGTAATATGTCTTTTTTTAGTTACAACTCTTGTTCTCCAAGAAAGGTCGGAATAGTGAACGTTTTTGCATTTCATTGCAAGGATATCTTGCACACTTCTTATTCTGTAGCGAAAGAATTACGGTATTCAAAGACACGAGTGACTACACAGTTTATCGACTTTTAGCGTAAACGGAAGAAGGCACATAGAGCACGATGCATTCGAAACATTCCAGTTCCAGTGGATCAATTACATATTTTATAGATACATTTCAAAGGACACTGTTTTCCTTTATGTTTAAAACATCGACCTGTATTATATTGTGAGAAAAGGAGACAGAGCTAGTTGTTCTCTTTTGTTTCAGATCATTGTGAAAATTCAGTCAAGTAAACTGTCCTTGAAAGAATAAATTTATAGAATGTGAAGGAAAATTGACAAATACATGTATAGTAAAATACAATTTTTCTCATATCGAATATTCATGTTTTTTTATCGTTATTATTGAAATTTTTTAAGAACTCTGCAACATTAATGAACCTTCTAGTTTTCTGACTATTGGATTTTAAGCATGAACAAACTTGCCTCCTGTTAGTCACAAATAACAATATTTGTGTTGTCCAACAAATAATCATGAAGTGTATATAATACATTCTGTATTTCATCGGTATGTGTTTAAAAAAACAGGTTCGTATTATGAAATTTTTACATTGACCTACAATATTACATTCGATTATAGCGACCTGCTTCAAATTTATATTTTTTATTAATTGGCACAGCGATGTGATCAGATTAGGCTTGAATAATTCTTCAGATGTTACAAAATGGAAAACCTTTTTCTGTTAAACAGAGGGAGATTGAAATTACTAAATGGGACATACAGAAGAATTAGATTTTGGAAAATAGAAAGAAAACTTGTTAAAATTTTAAATGTGCAATATCTTATATTATTCAATTATTTTTACAGAGCGAAATTTAACGTTTGATATTCTTGTATCAACACTGTGAATTGAATAGAAGAGGTAATCTTAAACATTACCGTGCCAATCAGTATCAATATACTTTAATAACATTACTTTAATTTTTATCATGTTACATAGAATACAGTATTTTCGAATAACAATTACAAGACGATATACTTAGTCAGAGAGAAAAGCTCTTACCATCGTATTTGTTTAATTTACACTTTATATTTACACTAATTTTATGTCAGGATCAGCCAAGCAATTATATAACCCCTACGGTAAAAATGAACTAGAGCATTAGTAAACATTTTCTAGCATGATTACAAACTAATGCATAAAGTATAATTATCAATAAATAATTTTTGAAAACAAAAATATTTACCTCCATCACTAGACTGGGGATATTTCCACAAATTCATACGTTCATAAGTTTCTCACAAATAACAGAGTCGCAGAAAAACTTATTGCATTCATTTGTCAAGTTGAGAAAGAAAAAGAGTAAGGTGAAAATTTTATTTCTCCTTGCTAGTGTTTTTATTCCACTTCTATGTGACATAAATGCACAAAAACCGTAGTTTACTTATCTTTATGTAATAAACAATTTTATGTATAGGCAGTCGTCGGGCTCGATACGAAACACTATTAACAATGCTATATATGTAGCCTCCACTTCAGTTAACCACCATGACGACCGATGACGTCATAGTGGCGTCATGCGAATGCCAACTGGTACTTCTCAAGTATTCAAAGTAATTGATTTTTTTTGTTTAAATAGATAATAAAAGTCATGTATTATAAATTGTCGATAAAAACAGCGGATCACTGGTGAAAGTTACTCGCGAAACTGGCTAATATGAAAGCGAAACTAGAAATAGATCGTCATAGTGTTAATATTCTCTATACTTCGCCTCCCAACACCGTAAATGTAAAACACGACAAGTGACGTTCGTTGACGTTCGAAACTCGAGATCAACCGACGTTATGTCGGTCTTCATGTACGCCTATCGTAATTGTAATTATTAGTATAACAATATACATATTCTACTTTGTACATCGAAAGCATCGCGGTAACACTGCTCGTGCCTTGGACTGTCGCGCACACTCATAAACAATGAATTCTTTACAATCATTCGGTAAATATATTTTGATGTCGCGGGGATCGCCGCCATTTTTGTTCTACTTTTTATCGTACTTATTCTTCTGTATCGTAGGAAACACTCGTACAACGTAGAAAATATTCGTAACACGTAGGACACGTTTCTAAATGGTATGAAATTGTACGTCTTTTGTAAAATTCACGAAACCTTAAAACACTTCAGTCGAACTCTGAATTTTTGATTAGTGTTGCGCTCAGATCTGATTGTTGAAAATAAGTCTTTTCGGTTTTCTTAGAGTTAGAATCTTGTTTTCTTTCTTTTTCTTTCAGTAAAAGAGACTTAAATTGGAACGTTTAGAAAAAGATTCCGTCATAATTGTACAGTTTTTTGGGGGTACTTTGATACATACGTTGAACTTTTGTCGTTTTGTTTAGACAGCATGGTCAGAAATTGTTCAAGGCATCGGTGATTATGCGAACTATACATACGTACCTAAATATTCATCTAGATATTAGCTGTACCAATGAGCAATTAATTATTTTTTTCTTCCTTTCACTACTTATCTCTAACTAAACCATGAACATGTGATCTTTTAATAATTGATCTTTTACTTTAATAACATTTATCATTATTATTTAACACTATACACGATCTGAATCAAGCACAAAAGTGGAAAGCTACATTGAATTTGAACTATATTACCATCTCATAAAAAAAATAGTGAATTGTTCATGGGTACACCTACAATTATGTTATTACTTTGGCCCCTTAAATGGGAATTACATTAAATATTCTGCTTCTCCACCACATCCATCTTCTTACTTCGGGAAGACCACCTGAGATCTATCGAAATCTCCATTCTATTCTCGCTACTTACCATTCGCCATAAGCATTTGTTTGTGCTGGATTAAAAATGTTTCGGTTGGTTCCCTATTTGATTTCTACGATGACTACTATTACCTTCGAACACAATTTGTTGTGCGCTCTCGCAGACAGTGCATCACGACAAACTCGATTACCGAATGATCCATGGGGTTTCAGTATTTTAACTTTAATGGCCATAGTCACCGAAAAATCAGTCTTCGTTTTTTCTGTAACTTCTCTTTCGGGACAACATGTCCGTTCCCCTTGAGACACATATTCAGCTGAAAGCAATTTGCAAAACGGTGTTCTTTTCAATTCTTTAATTCTCATTTATAATTTTGTCAGGGTACTCAGAAAGTATTTCCAGTGTATAATTACTAGAAATTTCTAGTTAAAAATCTGATAGCGGGCATCTTGGGTTTGGTCTACATCCATCTGCACTTTCCTAACATTTCCACGACGAACGCTTGAATTTGGATCGGACCTAACACAATCAATTTTTACATCCATTAATAGACATTTTCACACAAAATCGAGCCAAGCAGCGTGGTCAATTATTTAACAAAGAACAACTACAATCTGTCCATAGCAAAACGATCAAGGACCATTACCGATCACAACAATTCATTAATATCATCTCCCAACAAATTCCACTCTCCAGTGTCTACGCACATTTACGCGTACCCAATCCCCCATTACCATCTCCAAACCCAAATATTCAATCCTCATCCGCAATTCACTGAAACATTAATCGATTCAGTGATTATTCACATTACCGTTTCCATTCGAACCCCTCCCTTTCAGTCTCAAGCAACCTCTAACGATCACGATCACTGGTTCGAATTTCCCAACCGGAGGTTCGTTAAAGTCTCCGTCGGTGGAACATGCGCATACTGTCGTCGCAAGGTTTCTAGGCGAAAGAAAAAACATACTTCAATTAATCCTCTCCCCTCGAGGTAACGTTCACCGGTACACTTGACAGTTGATTCCTCGGTGATCGATTCGACCAGCCAGCGTCGCCGATGAAAACACGACGGAAGGGTTCACGGTGAACAATTTCCCTTCCCTCTTCTTTCCCCTCTGTCGCCCGGCATCGATCAGATCCCGCTGTAATTTTAATCGGAGAGAGCTCGACGTTGCTCGTCGCCGTTGCCACCCCCCGTTAAAACGAGTCCTCAGCTTCGTCGGTGTCGATCAATGGCACCCTCTCGTAACGTAGCACGCTGCTCGTCCCGGGCGGCTTAAACTGCTAGAGCGCCATGCTCTTGATCTCGTTCTCGTTCATCTGACCTTGGGACGAGGAGGGCGTCGCCTCGACCAGACCCTCGTCCTCGCCCTCCGTCTCCTGTTTGTCCACGCAGTAACGGCAACGCATCTTTGCGTCGTCGCCAACCTGGACCGAACGGGTGATGATCACCAGCGTGGTCAGACTGATTACGAACAGGCCGGACGGCACGATGATCGCGATCAGCAATTCCGTCCTCGTCTTGTTGAGGTCGAAACGTGCCACGACGAAGAACGAGTCGTTCTGGAACAATATACGCCGTATGGGTCGATCGCACATGGGGTCTTGGAGAAAAAAGGAACGATGGTATGGAGGCGGAGAAGACCCGTTGAGTAATTGCTGATGCGTGGGTTAGAGATCATGATGATAGAGTGGTTAATGGAGCGAGGATGTGGTGAAGTGATGTTCGGATATTTTCAGATTTCTTTTATGGATTAATTCTTAGCCAGACATGTATCCCAGAGAGCACGTAATGTAGGAACTGTCGGATATTTCTGGGATGGAATCACCCACAATTTGGTTAGTTTTGCGCAGTAATAAGAGTGTCTGTAAGTTTTCATATTAAATGAATTTTAGAAGTATTTTCATTCTATGGTTATTCCTTAACACGTTAAGCGCTATTTTGCTGATGACTCTTACGTATGGATTTCGCGTGGGTTAGAAATGATGATGATAAGGTGGTTAATGGGGTGTGGATGTGGTGAAATTATGTTTAGATTATTGACAAAAAATTTGCTATAACCACGTTAAAGCTCTCTTAAAACCATGCTATACCTTATAAAAACATTTTCAGTCGGACTACTAATAACAGAGTAATCTCTACTCATCACGATTCGTGGTTCACCCTGTATAATAACTTTACTAACTGCGATGAAAGTAAAAAAGTTGTCTAACACTTTCGAACGTTAAAAGTGTTCCTTGTGAATCATTTTTATGTCATGTAATACAGACAAAAATACAAGAAAATATTTATTTTGTAATTCTTGAATAATTTGGGAATGAAAAGGTTAAGAGTGAAATAAATCATGCGTTACTCTCTGGTGAGCGATTAAACAATGAAATCCAAAGTATTTTTTACTTCAGACATACGGGTGACGTCTTAATAAATTTAGGTTAGAAAATGTTATTTGAATTTTGTGTCTTGGATGAAATAATTTTAAGAGATAGTATGAACGACGGTATTGTCAGTATTTTTCTTCGTGACAAATTGTTCAGTGATCGCAGGAAGACACGCGATACAACTGAAATTCAGTGAGTGATCGATGAAAGGGGGGATTTAACCTGCTCGAAAGATTCATAACAGCGAGGAAAGGAAGAAGAAATATCCATCAAACTTGAGATTCAGGTTACTTCTAGTAGCTTAGGCAGAAATACTCGATGAAAAATTGAAGCTTTCTTCCTGTTGTTTTCCTCCGCCATCTGTCTAAAATTTTTACACCATTTTTAACTATAAAGTCATTCCTTGTACGTCTTTTTTGATTTATGAAGATTAATATTATCCAACTGAAAATACTCGACTTTATCAGTCTTACGTGTACTTTTTATTTACATATTTATATGCTGAATTAATGTTGAGTTAATTTTTTGGGATAATCCACATGGTCGTCAATTTATCTGATGAAAAATTCCAAGTATATCGCATTCAGTGATATCGCAAAATATTTTCTATATATTTGTCGTTTGCCATTTCGCTAATAAAATAATAAATATATTCATCATTTATTCTTTGTAAGAATACTAGTAATCTTAACATTCTCATACAGCTACTTTCCCTTAACTTAATGTTTGACTACAACTTTCAATTAATTCAAAATGGTCGCCAAGAAAGACGAAAAACATTGATTTCCTTTCTTCTTTCCGTGAAAAATGAATATATGAATTTCCCCTGAAACACGAAGCCCAGCAATGGGAAGCGAAACAACGCGAACCACCGCCACAGGAATAGTTTCATTACGGAAATTGCACACTGCGCTTTCATCGCCGTGTGATCACTTTAGTAATTTAATTTCTCAGTCGTTATCGCGACATTTCACTTCCCGCTGTAACACATTAAAATTGCGAACGAATTATATCGAGACGTTCCGTTAAATTGAAGTTAATTCCCGTCGACGTGGAACAGAGGAGAGAAACTTTTTCCTTCGAGTAAAGCGTCAGACGGAACGACTGGAATTGTATTCAAGGATTTCTTTCGAATTACAAGACCGGAATACAGTTACCGTGTATATCTCGTTTCCGGTAACAATGGGAAAAAATGACGAGCCTTTCAACGTTTCGAAGAGCAAACTGACAAAAGGTGTTGCATGATCACTGACCCATTTTATTCAGCGTGGATCGTGGCTCGATGAGTAATTTCAATGAACCTTTATCTTGCAATAAACGAAATAATGTGTTTTTTAATTTTCGTGTTGATAACTATGGGACATCTAGCTATTATTAGTCCCTGCAATAAATTGATTTTTTAGAGAAATTTTCAGGTCGATGGGTACTAAATGGCTGTTGGAACATGTTAGCTCGTACTCAGATAAGATCGAAGTTACGCTGTGAAATTTCCTAAGGACTCTTGCACGCGCGCTTGCTAAATTTTCAACGGACAGCCGTGAATTTAACTTGCACGAGCTTATATTATTCATCGTGTTCTGTGGTTCACGTGCAACCCTGTTGCGAGTGTGCTTCAAGTAGCGTATGCAAACATTTTCGTCGTTGGTGACTATACATAGTTGCTGGCCACAGGGCAAACAGTTACACTTTCTGAAGCAAGTAGCGCGGAACTAATTGAAATAATACGGTGGAATGGTATGAATCTGATGACGAAGTGACCTGTAAATAATTGTATTACTTTTATTTATAATAATTATTAGGTTGTAGGTTCTTAATCGAGCTTTAATTTCTTCTAATTTCAATTGTTGAGTTGAATTCAATTGCAATTTCTATTTCGACACTTCTGTGTTCTGAACAAATAAAAATGAAATATTCTATAAAATTACTGAATCGAGCTGTATCATCGTATACTGTGGTAGTTAATAGTATTGCAATGTTTATAGGGATTACTCTTTGTTTCGTGTTAAGTGTCATACCAATGGCCCTCATAGAACTTAACGCATTAAAGAAAATTCATTTTTAAAAATATACATACCGGTTGCGATAATAGGGATGATACGATTTTAAAAAATTAATGGTATAATTATAGCAAAATACGTCACTTGTCCGAAATTCAACCTACCTACGTTCTTTAGATTGTTTGCACCCATTAAATTCTTTTTAAAGTCGAGCAGAATATAGAAGAAGTTGGTTTGACTATAGCTGTTTTTTGTTTTGCAGTTTTATATCAAGCGTTTATGGTAAAATAAATGGTCGTCTGAACATGTTAAGTACATCGCAGCCCCTGCTATAAAATATACAGAATTAGCAAAACTTGAGTTTGCAGGTTTCCAATGAATTGTATTGAACAGAATTTCGATCCGTGACTCTGCGAACTATACAGAGATATAATCTAAATTTGAATGGACACGACCATTAGCCACTTATTGTTCACGACCCTAATACACAGAGCGCAGGCAAAAGGATAGTACAAGTGGGCGTAACGTGCTTCCTTATGCAAAAATGAATAAAAAATGTAGAATAAAATTTTTTCAGTCGAGGCTTCCTTTCCGAAATAATCTAATTTGAAAATCTGTTGCATACAGGGTGTCTCAAGTTGGGTAGTATAATCGGGTAGGATGTGATTCTATAAGAAAAGTAAGTCGAAAAAAGAACAAATTGCTTTCATTTGAAGTTTCGTTTTCGAGATATTCAAATTTGAAAATTAATCTGAAATGCGTGTATTCGTCGTGGTAGTAAGTAGAAACGGAATGCAGTGGACAGACATGTTAGTCAAGTCCTATTCAATTGGCCGTGTACCCAACAAATTTTCAAATTTGATTATCTGAAAAACGAAGCATCAACCGAAAAAATGTTATTTCTTTTTTAAAGACCTGAGCCACACTGTATACGCGCGCAATTGAATTGGCTAACGCGTCTGTTGACTGCATTCTGTTTCTATTTATTCTCCGCATGATATACGCGTTTGACATGAGGTTCTAAAATCGATTTTCTCGAAAACTAAGCCTCTAATAAAAAATCTTATTCCCCACATTTCATTTACAGTTAAATCCTCGATAAGTGTTCGAAGTTTCCTCTGCACTGACAAGGAGAGGTCCCCAAGTGTAACGCTGGATTTTTACTGATGCTTATCACAGTGATAGAGCTTGGAATTCTGAAGCCAATGATATTTGTTTCAGCCGCATATGCCAATTAGTTCATGAAATATTTAATGTTCAGTGCTGAGGAACATTCGGACACTCATCCAGGATTTACTGTATTTTTGCACAAAGAATCACCTCCTGACCGTTTATGCGAATCCTGAACCTTCAACAGAGTTAAGACCACGTTTTATAGAAAGGTGGTCCGTCTGTTTCATGGTTCGAAAATTGAAGAGTTTTTCTCCAGAAAATATTCGTACCTTATTATAGTAACATGGGTATCTACTCTGCGCCGTCTGATTGTCGCCGTCCCGGCCGTGACTGGCAAGAAAATCTTTACATTCCCCCTTGAGTGTGTTGACGCAGCCGTCGAGGTTGATGTTCAGACGGGAACTATTGTAGATCGTGAGTGATCGTTGAGCCGGCACGTAGGCGTTCGTCGGGTCCACGGGATACTGCAAGCTCTTCTCGTATATATTCAGAAAGCTCGTAAAATTGATGTACGGCTGCGGCACCGTGATCTCTTTTAACAAGGTGCCGTTGACGCAGTCCTGTGTCCTGCGAAAAGGGAAATCAGAAACAGGATTTACGGAGCAACCTTTGGGAATTGTATCGATGGTCTCTTTCTTTACGACCTTGTTACTTCAGAAATGTACATTACATCGTTCTTGAAACCGTAAAACAAAAGTGATGGCATGTAAACGAATATGAAGATGAAAGGATAGTATCTAGACTACGGATGTTCATGTGAATTTCTGTTTTTCGGGATCTATTTTGCAGAAATGATGTAGGAGTTTGTGCACCATATAGGTGACACTTTACTAGTGGTTTTATTAAATATTATCAATTACTGTGTTTTATTGAGCTTCGCATATTTCCACATATCGTAGGCTTATGAAGTCTACAGTCTAACGATATACTTATTATTACAATGAAAATTTGTATACCTAGATTTCTATTTGAACTTGGGAAATCAAGTGTATGATCTTCGATATTAATTGTGACAACAGACGCAATTGTTACTAAATTTCATCTTTCTCAGAAATACTAAGTTCTTGCAGAAATTTCTGCGAAACTTCATTAGATAAGGAGAAAGTGTCTTATTTATCCTATGAAAATTTGTCAAACCCACGAGGAATTGAATATTTGACTAATATATTCATACATTTCAGATTAACTTTATTTTAATTTCTTATTCAGGTAGACATGGAAAATCCCATTCTAAACTAATCCTGTATACAAATAAGGCGACTATTATCCTCGGTGCAATAGCAGAACATGCAAAATTTCTGAAATTGTCTTCGTAACATTATACAAATTAAACTATGTATAATCAAAGTAAATTGAAATCCATAGCATTTTGATCCAAGTATTAATACTATATCTTTTTTCTTTGGAATAATATTTCGCCATAAAGCAAACGGTGAAGATAAAAGGACAGTACTTTCGACAAAACTACTACTTCTCGACTCGTTTTCCGGTCGTAAAATGCTTTCGAGCGGGATTTTCTCTATAGTACCGTGATGGCTCGAATACACATTCCGAAGAAAGACTGTTCCTTGGTATTGGACCGCGTAATAACTTTTCCTTACTTTCCCGTCTGCAGTCGTGTCTCGACTGTCTTCGTCGGTGGCCTGACAAGACACACATTCGTGCAAAATGAAAAAGCAAGAGCAGTACGAGTCATCTGAAATAAAAGAAACGCGCCGGGGGAAACACACGCGAGCCAGAAAAACCGTGGCGTTCGGGTGGATCGGGTAGTGCCACGGGATCAATGGTTGCCATGGAAATACCCTTATCGGTGTCTTCTAGCTTCCCAAGAAAAGAGAGTATGCGAAAACGTCACGTGTCACTGATAGGGAGTAATTAATACCGGACACACCTGTAAGAATCCAATTAACCCAGAAACATATATTGCTCGGTAGACTTCCAGGGTAGTTTTCGCGAATGGCCCCTTTACCTCAACAAATTTCTTATGTTTGCATAAATAATTTTGGATACTACGTGTGTACAAAGTAAGAATTGTAGTCCATTTTCCAGATAATTTTATTTTATTTGCAAAGAGTGTAAACTATTATGTACTTTGATTGTAGAAGCTTTTAGAAGTATTAGAATAATTATTTCCATTACTCTATAGTATTTTAATAATTTTCTATTTGAGTAGCTTTACAAACTCTTTATTGATAAATGTTATATAGGATGGTGAAGTACACTGTTTAGTCAAGTCTTTCTGTTACTGATTTTTACTTGTCTTAATATTTATAAACATTGGTAGTGATACAGTAGTCTGTCACTACAAATAATTAATTTATTGTAGTTTATTTGAATACATGTGTTCTTTGCATTATGAATTAAACTCATTTTTATTTATACGAAGGTTTTCTTTCTACTTGTGAGTAACAATACTCGCAAGAATAGTAATATACAACCCGAAAATAGCAAGGCAGATGGAAAAGTGATAGTCCCGTGCGATTTTGTGTTCGTTTCAAGTAGAAATACTCGACAGCAGTCAGACAGGGTAGCTATTTATATTCAGAAACATTTATACTCACACGCGAATGCAAAAGTTATTATGAGTTTCGCTCTGAAATATTATACAAATATAATAATTTCAATTATAAATTAATAATAATTTCATGAAATACATAATGATTTATCTACAACATAAGTATTTTTAATGGAAATTTTGACGGTAATGAACAAATTTTTCGTTATTATTATTATGATTATGGAATTTATATTATTAAATTATGATAATAAGTTATAGCTATACAGAGCAGCATTGACATAATAGTTTCTCTAAACAGATCACAAATTTTTTTTACGATGTTTGTAATGTTTACATCTCTTAATTCAAAATTAACGTCCAGAAACTCGTTTGCAATTTTATTTTAAACAATGTAACATCCTCTATAGCGTCAATTTTTGTTCTAAAGAATATTTCACTGTTTTACATTGACATTGACACATAACATATTAACATAACAGTTTACTGTTTACACAACACCATGTCGATAATATTATCTACAGAAAATCCATCAAAACGTCTGCACTGACCCAATACATACTTCTAAAAATTTCAGCTCATTTTGCCTAACGAATCACTCGATTCCTCCCATGTCTAACGAAGTCCGTTACACAAAATTCAACTAACAAACAGTCTCACAACAACAATCTTTACTAAAAAGCATTCAGGAAATCCACCCAAGAAAAAATACCCAAATCTCCTCGACGTGACGTCATCGACTCCATCATTGTACTCCGAATATCTTAGAAAATTTCCGGTCCATCAATCCGTCTGAATTGTTCGCCATTCACGAGGCTGAACCCCATAACGTGACCCCCATTGACGGGCATCGATGCGTGAAATTTCGATACGATTGCAAGGCAAACAGAATCGGTCGAATGTGATTATGACGCAAATCCGGCCGATATACCCATATTTCACGCTCACGGGCTCTGGAAGGATTTTCCGTTAATTCCAAGGATGGCGAAGCTGAATGGCGATGCCCCTACGCGAAGGATCGTGCGATCGATCCATTGTATATCGCCTTGGCGATTTCTCCCGTGGGTCCATTGTGTACCAAGTCGTTTCTTATCTTGAAGTTCATTTTTGGCGAGTCACTTGGATCGAGTGGAGGAAAAATATGACTCGTTGAAACTGGAAGGACCTCTCGACCCCCCTCCTCCCTATTGGTTCGCTGACGTTGACCCCGTGGAGAGATGCGTCGAACTCTCCTTGCCCGCGTTTCTCCTCTCGTGATCACTCTGATCGTAACGGCTGAGGCCTGCACCCATTCAGGTCAATAATACGTACACACTCGCGGTGGTTTGCTCCCTGACATCTTAATTACGCCCTTAGACGACCACCACGCTGATACTAGCTCACCCCTATCCCAATGGATTTGCACTTGGAATCTCTATCGCGCGAGGATGATTCGTGTAGTTTGCGGATATCGACTAATCTATTGGAATTTGTGTTATGCAATGGTTTATCACGGAGATTTTTTAAATAGTTTCGGTTGTGTCTCCGTGGCTTTGAATGGAACCAAGACGGAATCATGTTATTGGTGATTTTTGAATAATTGAATGGAAACCTCGAATAAGGGTCTTTAGCACATTTTCGTCAACGTTGAATTAACGGTTAAGTATGGTTCTACAGTCCCTGTTTTAGTATACACAGGTTGTAGATATTGTTACGCCTTGGCGTTCCGCCACACGACATAACAGTTTATTTATAGAACACAACACAACGTTTATTTACAATTGTACAACTGTACAATGTTAATTATATTCAAATATGTACAATTTAATTATGGTGCGTCTGTTCTCTTTCATGTCATGTCAGAGACTTTCTTCTTTTATATACTGGCGGTTGTCAGCGAAACGATTGACCGATCTACAATCGATTCTCGAAGTCGGAGGTATCTTCAGTTATAATGCGAAGCCAGCTTCGTGGCTTCAAACAATATTTTGCCAAAAGGCGATTTAATTTTGAATACAAGAAGCACTTTATGTGTGTGAACCTTATGGACGAATGATATAAAGCACAACTTAAAAGTAGGGCTTTTAAATGTTATGTCCTCTAGCTGTTCTGTTGGTTGTTTATATGGAAGAAGGGACTAAGGCACAGGAGAAATTTATGACAACTTACCGAATATAGGGTAACGTAAGAACCGCTTTTTCGAAAAATGTGCTAAACGTGCTTTAGACCCTCATTCGAGGTTTCCATTCTATTTCGGTTGTGTTTGGAAGGACCTAAATGTGATCATGAAGCAATCATATTTTATACTTGAGCAGGTCGGTAATATTCATGAATTCTTAATAACAAACGACAAATTAATGGATAGAAGTTCTTCTTGGCCAATGAAAAGAATATTTAATTTTCCTGAAGGTGGTGCTTCAGAAGTTACACTTACGATATCACATTAATACGGAGAGGGCGCCATCTTCGGGTCACCGATTTTAAAAAAACTTTTAGGACATGTTGTAGGTTTCTACGTATTTACAAATCATTTCCCATACAAGGGTAGTTATTTGGAAGTTTGTGAATTATTTACTTTCGAAGTTTTCTACGTGACTTAAATAGAAATTATGTTGGCCGATTATTCACAGGCGTGTATGTTCGGGGTAACGTCCATGGTTCCTACTGTGATAGACAGTTCAAATACGTCTCGAATAGGTCCATAAAACTTTGGAAGGGTTTATTACTATTGCATCCCTTTCAAAGATTCTTGGACGTGTTTGAACTTTGGCCGTCACGGTAGAAACCATGGGGTTAGGCAACCTAGTATTTAAGTCACGCGAAGAACTTTTAGAGCATATAACCCAAAAACTTTCGAGTGTCTGCCCTTATATGGATGAGAGGGGATTTAAAAAGAGGAAGAAGCTTGCTACATGTTCTAAAAGTTCCATTAATCCTCTCCGTGTAAGAAGCTGTACTAACTAGTGACGAATAAACTGCGGATGTTTATGCAAATATTGATTTTTAAGAGTTAATTTACAGGAACTAGAGCCAGATCTGATTACTTTCTTTACTACTCGACCAGGTTCCAAAGAAAATAAGAACTTCATCAATGTTCACAAACTTTTATGCATAGTGAATTCTAAAGATGTATCGTGTATGCTATAAATGAATAAAATTCGTAGTCTAGTGATAAAGATGATTTGTTTAAATAATGCATATAAAGTATTCTAAAATTAGCTTAAAAGATTCGTGTGGTAATCACCATAGAATTCATTTCAGGTTGTATATTTTTCCCTCAATTATTTACACAAAATTAAATCAGCGTGTGAATTCTTAAAACACTAAAGCACTTAAGCTGCAGACTTTGCGACGTAACTAGTAATTAATTACAAATTGGGTGTAAATTATCGAATTTCTCAGTGTACAAAGATCATTTAGTCACTTACAGATTGTAACTAATTACTCTAGTCACGTCTAAGGCAAGATCATACATTAACAAAAACTAAGGATCGATTTTTAATCCTTACCTTATGACTCTTCCTTCTTTGCTAACGGCCATACAACTGGCAATTATGCTGCCGTTCTGGCTGTCCCAAATTATTTCAGGCGTGGTTAGCCTAGTTCCCGGTAGATTCCCGTTCGCTCTGTTCAAGGCCAATCCTCGTTCGCACCTTGCGGTGATCACATTGTCCGCTTGCATTAGGAACACGTTCGCATCGGACGTGGAGATTTTCGGGCAGTATCGATCGCAGCTGAAGGGGGTCTTGATTTTCGTGCATCTGGAGCTCTGACAGCTGAAGAAACCGTTCAGTTTCATGTTGTCCTTTTCGCTGTCGACCACGATCCCATCGGCTTTGTGATGGCAGAGCATCAGCTCGCTCAAATTCGCGCAATGGCCCAGGTTGCAGTTAAATACCCCCGAGAGAACGCTACACTCGCTGCCGTTGTTGCAGTTGTATTTTTTCAAGGCGGCCACGTTCACCTGAAAATATAGGGTAGATACATTCGAATGAGGTGAAGGTAAAGGAAGGAACATTGTGTTATTCTGAAATACCTTAACACTGGATGACGCTATAAGTCTAATTGAATACTACTTTCTATTAGGGTTGACGCAAAATTGAATCGGATGAATATTATTTTCAAGATATCCCGTCTGATCTGTAAGTCATTAGTGCAATGGTCCCGTCAAAGAAGTGTTTACTGATTATTTTAACGAATTTTAGTAGATTCGTTATTATGATGGTCACCAAATGACCGAAATTGACTATTCTATTTGTACCTTCGCTAGCCATGGATGGACCGTGGATTTTTATAAAAAATAACATTTTATAAAGTAATTCATAAAGACGAGAGTAAATGTAAAAACTTCTTGCTTTTCTCAATCGTGTTCAGAATAATCTGATGAATATTTTGTCTTTTATAGTATTTCACAAAGCCCTATAGGCTGTAAATGCATAAAATCCATAATCTAGTCACGGCTGATTGTCATTTTAATGTAAAATAATTTAATGGAGGGAAATCGAGAGCCAAATTAACACACTCGGCAGTAAATATGTTTGTAAACGTTAGTGAAGGATAGTAAGATTAATATAAAGTTGATCACCAAGCGTGGATTACTATTGTGATTGTTAAACTGTGTATGGTTAGATAAATTTATATCTTCATATACCAATTCGCGAAAGTGAGAGTTAAACAAACATTTATATCATCTAATGAAGGTATCATTAGACTATATTAAGATTTCTATTTTATTAAATTAGGTTCTGCGTGTTGTGATCGCCCTGTATATTTTACTTCCTTTTCCATTTTCCACAGAAAGTATCATGATGGTACGAAAATGAAGTACCTAATGGATCATGCAGTGTATATTTATGTTGTTCACCGAAAATTGGGGACGTTCGGGCAGTTATTAACCCCAGCAAGATGACCGTCACGCAACCCTTTTGCTATCATTTTCGGCGGCGCACCCCTAGAGAGTAATTCGTATTTTCCTGTCTGACACGCTTATTCTCCCCCAGGATAAAATTTTCTGTTTGATTGATGGTTATTTTTAGATTAGTTTCATTATATTCTGACCCATTCGGCTCGTCGTGACAGGTTTCCGAATAAGCGGTCTATACTCCACTGCGTAAACGAACCAATGAAACGCATGATTATTATATTCAGATGTAAAAGTAGGTACTTCCATTAGTGGTCAATAGTACGAAATAAAATTTTACTGACGCACGGTTCGATCATTTCATTAAAACAGAATATTTAATGAAGAATTTTTGTATTCGCGGTAGACATTCAATATGGTCGTCATTGGTGACCAAATTGTGTTACCAATTGTGACGTACCATATAACTGATAATAGGTATTAAATCATTTCAGATGGTCTGAAAATACATTTATTCTACTTTTTACAACATGCCAGAATCAACAACTATAATTCCGGTTATATCATATGTTTATCTACCTTCACGAGCAAACTCTGCTTCCGCTAAAGGAATAAGCTGCATAGAGGAAGAGCCTCCTACCATTTGGTCTCGGGGGTTATTGGAATTTGTGTCAAACTAACATTTAGTTTAACATTTATTTCAGTACTTGAAATAAATTTACCAAGTGGTAAGGGGCTCTT